GATTTTTTAGTGGAAGTGGGGAGGAGGGGGAGCTAAAATCTCTCAAAATAATACTCGAAGTAGAGCTCTGTTCAAAAGCAGTGCTGTAGTGAGTGCTGCTCCAGTAGTGAGAGCGACGAAAGGCGTTGGTGTTGGGCTTGAGTTCACCCTCCAGCCAGGCTGCAACAGTTGGTTAAGGTGTCTACCTTTGCCTTGGTAGGGCAAGGGTTTGAGTCCCGCAAGTCTGCACATCACGGGGTATAGGTCGACAGCATTCACTTGGTCAACTTTTGCCCTTGGGATGAAAGCTGCAAAGGGAACAATGGTATAGCTTTGTACGTAAAATAAGTAAAAGAGGGAACAACATTTTCCCACTTAATTCATCAAATCAGCTTTGTGGGTGGCAAGAGGGTTTCTTAAGAAGCTCATACCTCTTACATTTTCCCTTGTTGCTTCTGCGAATCAGTCGCTTTTTTCTAACCTAGGAGCTTTTTTATTTTTTAGGTTATAATACCTATGTGCTTTTCTTTACCAAAAACAGACATATCAATCTAATTTCAGGAGAAAGAAAAGTTAGAGTGTCTAGATAACCTTGCCAATGTTTTTCTTTTTGAGAATACAAGAACATTATCATGCATAGCTAGAGATTTTAAACGAAAAAGAATTAGGTCGAGGCCTGATTTTCTATTACATGTATTATCAGGAAAAGAAGGGTGGTTTTTCATTAATTGGCAAAGTATTGCTTGTTTCATTATCTATAGTATAATGAGCCATTTTCTTGAGACATGAATCAGAGATCCTGCCGTAACCCACCAATTAAGTAAGCAAGAATTTATTTGGAGCTCTCGTTGCTTTATCAACCAGGGACAAGGGAATTCTTTCGGGCATCAAGGTGCCTTGAGACCAAAAAAAAAAAAAAAAAAAGAATAAAAAACAAAGACACGGTTTTTTTTCCATCCCACCCCCTCTCCTTTCATCACTGTCTCCGCCTCCTCTCTGTCTCTTTTTCTCTCTTCCCCCCCTCCTCCAACAACCGTCCAGTTCTTTTCCCCCTCTCTCTCATCCACCCCTCTCTTTTTCCTTCCCTTCCTCTCTCCCTCTTACCCTTTTCTTTCTGTCTCTCTTCCACTCGTCTCCCTTTCTCCCCCCTCCCTCTCTCCCTCTCCCGCTCAATCTCCCTCATTTTGTCTCCCCCCTATCTCCCTCCCTCTTTCGTCTCCTTTCTGCCCCCCCTCTCTCTCTCTTTCTCTCTCTTTCTCTCCCCCTCTCTCCTTCCTTTCTCTCTCTCTCTCTCTCTCTCTCTCTCTCTCTCTCTCTCTCTCTCTCTCTCTCTCTCTCTCTCTCTCTC